CCCTTCCTTTCATTATCTGGGCTCCTAAGGTCCAAAGATTAAGTGGTATTACAGTGCTTTTTATTATTTCTATGAGAAAGGGAGGAAGGGAGAGAGAGACAGACAGAGAGACAGACAGAGAGAACAGTGACAAAGGATCAAGCTAAAAGGGTTGCTAAGGAATAATAAGTTAAAACTTAGTAGTATGTTAGTGGTTTTACTTCCTGGAGTGTTCCTGAAGCAAAAAAATAAAGTTTAAAAAATTAAAGCAAAGCCAGTGGTGATGGAGGAAGGAGAAATAGTTACAACTGGCTTAGCAAAGTTGCCACTTGTTTTCTGTTTTCTCAAAGACAGTAATCTACCCTTGTAGATTTCTGAAAGCATCCTCCAAACACTGGAGGATGTGTATGTTGCGGGGAAAGGGGAGAGAGGTATAAAGCAGTTACAAATTACAGGCTGGGCTCTGAATTCAGGCTACTTAAACCCCAGCCATGCTTTTTAATCTCTTTAAACTTGGTTTTCAAAATCTGGAAAGTAGGGGCTATGGTATTACTTCATAGCCTTGTTTTGAAGATAAAATGAGGCTATGCATGTGCTTGGCCAAAATTAAGCACTACAAATTAGTGATGATGATGATGATGATGACGACGACAATGACGATGACTATTTGCTGTTTACCTAAAAGTTTTGGAAATACCTTTGGTTTATTTTTTTATCATTTCTCTAAATGTTGAAGTGCCCCATCTGAAGCAATCAGACAAGAATTCTCTAAATTTATTCCCACTACATCTACCGTCTTACCTGTGTATGTTCCTATATTCTGCCTTCTCTCCTGTTTAATATGGATGAACTGTTTGTGTATAATACCCTACTTTCCTCGTGTGCCTTGAATCACATCATTATTACTTTGTGTTATTAATTAGCTCTTCTCATCGATGTCTTTAGTTTTTTTCTTCCCTGGTTAAATTGTTCTAATAGCCCAAAGGATGACCCTGAAACTAACCACGTAGCCTCCTTTCGTTAATGCCACATTTCTCTGTTTTCCATTAGAGTATAAGTATGCCTTTACTCACCCTGCACTTGCTAACTTCCCTTTCTCTCTTTAACCGATGCCAGTAGGATTTCCATCCCAACCTTCTGCATAGATAGATCACTGATGTCTACCATCTTTAAATTCCAGTAGTCAGTGTTTACCAATTATCTCTGCTTATCTTGATGCATGTCTCGGCAGCATTTGAGACAACTGACTATTTCCTTCTTCTGGCAACAATTTCTTCTCCTGGCTTCTGGGATACCACATGTTCTTAGATTTTTCTCTTGCCTTCATTGGTTACTTTTTCACAGCTTAGTTATCTTCTCGTCCTCTATCCATTCTCTATATGTCGGGGTGTTCCAGGTTCAGTCCTGTGCTCTTCCTCTCCTTCCTCAATATAGTCTATTATTATAATATTATTAACTATAAAATTACAGGAATATAAATTTATTTAGCAAATATATAAATCTACACATTGGAGGTAAGTATAGTAATGGTTAATAGATTGATATGATTAACTTATAATTAATGTAATACATAATAAAAATATTATTAAATACCTATTATATACACACACTCTGTTTTCTAATAAAATATTTTATTGGCTTCATCTGAATCTAAAGAATCCATGGAATTGTTTTCACAATCAGGGATTCTCAGAAAAACTTCCGCCACTTTTTATGGAGTAGTACCACAGTTTCCATCTTTCCCTACATCTTTTCCTCAGAGGCTCTTCTTCCAAAGCAGTCTAGCTATGTCCTCCCTACATATCCACTGAAGTCAGGCTTTGCCGAGACCTCCTCCTGTACATGTGATGCTAACGTGTATGTGCTCAGGTTTTTACCACTTCACTGGATATTTTGCAAAGTCTTGATTACTTCCTGGTCTTTCAACTCCTTTTAAGGATCTATAATGGATTTGGCAACTCAGTTGATTATGAAAAACCATTAATTTCATGTCCCACCTCTTTTATTGGCTGCTATGTATCCTTCTACTCTCTTCTCATTTTTTCTCCTGGTATCATTGAGAAACTTACAACTTGTATTGAATTTTTAGAGTGCTTCATATTTTATTGATTCTCAATTCTATTTCTCATCTTTGCTTTGGTTGTCCTCTGTTCTATGGTCATTGATAAGCTATGGCAGTGACCCTATAGTAGGAGCACAGGACTTTACTGTTTTTCTGGGCCTGAGTAGTCCCATGGTGATCCCCAAAGCCTAGAGTGAGCACGCATCCTTGTGTTAGAGGAAACATTTTAGTAGATTTGGACAATCTCCCATAATTCATTATTTCCTGAGCCTGAGTAAGACTCAGCAGTTTGTTTTTTTTTAAATCTGAGAGGAGAAGGAACAACCAAGATATATAATGTGCTTCAAGGCTTTTACTGTTGTGTGTACATTTTTCTGTTTTATTTTCAGACATAATTTGCATCAGTATTATCCATATGCATGCCTTATCCCATGCAATCCTCACAAAAAGTCATGTGAAGT